AAATGCTCTTGAAGGTCCATCTTCCTTATAAGGATGTGACTACGCTCCAGTTGAAAATGCTCTTGATGGTCCATCTGAAACGGAAAGGCCCCCCCAGATCCTTTCTGACAGCCTTCTCCACCCTACCTCTCTACATGCTTAAGGTGTACCTTCAACTCCCACCTCCAAGCAGGTCGCCAGCAAGACGAAGGCGTAGCTAGGTCACCCTTTCCTTGTGTAGCTCGGTAGGTTTTGTAATAGATAGGCTGGAAGTTTTGTAATAGATAGGCTTTGAATGCATATACGAAATTCGAAGGAGATTTCCTTGCAATTTCTTCCTGCACCCCCCTGCAACAGCCAAAGCCGGGTGCCGACCTCCTGGGTCGAGCACCCAACGCATATCCCCGTTAATCTAACAACTAAATCATTAGAGGGAACCAGGTTGTCAAAACCCTGTGCCGACCTCCCGGGTCGAGCACCACGCCGTCCTACCAGGGCAACGTGCCAGCCTCTCGGGGCTGAGCACCAAATCCTTAAGAGTTTTTTCTGCCGGGGTCGAGCGTCAAGCCTCCTGGTGTTCGTGCCGACCTCCTGGGTCGAGCGTCGAATCTTGAATCCCATCAGACCAAAAATAGTCCGCTCCATGCCGATCTCTCGTGGCCGAGCGTCGTGCTCTCAGACTCCCCAACTTTAACCCTTGTCGACCTCTTGGGGTCGAGCGTCCACCTGGAAGCCTTAATCAGTGCCGACCTCTCGGGGTCGAGCATCTCACCTCGCAATGGCAATGGCGCCCACCGACCTCCTAGGGTCGAGCGTTGAATTTTCAGAATCCTTCAAAGCTTTTCAGTCGTGCCGACCTCCTGGGGTCGAACACTCCCGAATCCATTACTAACCCCTATCCCCCCACTAGGACATTTAGTGAGGGAACGCTAAGTGTGCTAGTGTAAGATTAAAACTCCAAAGACAAACAAGTACAAATGAAATGGAAACTTGAAAGTCAAGCCTTTATTGAATGATGAAACTGAAATTCGAATTCCAAAGAATCAGACAACCGAAAATCCTGGTCTAACCTATGCTACAAACAGTCGCAGATTGGAGAAGTGCCAAGTGCGGGGTGCCTCTGATCCATCCATTTTGGCGAGTTTGCAGTACCCAGTTCGGCTTGCCTCTAAAACCTTGTACGGCCCTTCCCAATTTGGATCAAGCTTGTTGGAGCCATGTGCCCGACTGACCGAGTTCTTCCTTAGGACAAGGTCCCCTGGCTGGTACTGTATGGTCCTCACTTTGGCGTTATGATAGCGGGCGAGCTGACTTTTGTACTTAGCCATTCGTACCGCCGCTTCTTCACGCTTAGCCTCCAGCGTGTCCAAGTTGTACCTCAGCTCTTCCTCGTTGGTTGTCACAACGAAATTCTGTGTCCGGGGCGAGAGAAAACCAATCTCCGCGGGTACCACCGCCTCTACTCCGTAAGTCAGAGAGAACGGGGTTTCGTGGGTTGCCGTCCTGGGCGTAGTGCTGTAAGCCCAGAGGACACTAGGAAGTTCATCCAACCAGTTAGACTGGGCTAGCTCCAGTCTAGTCTTTACCCCCTGCAGGATGGTTCGGTTAACATTTTTCACCTGACCGTTGGCCTGGGGGTGTCCAACCGAGGTGAAATGCTGGTTAATTCCTATCTCGGTGCACCAGCTTTTGAAGGGATTTTCAGCAAACTGTCGCCCGTTATCGGATATCAGGACATGCGGGATTCCAAAGCGGCAGACTATGTTTTTCCAGAAGAACTTCTGTATTGCTTTCCCGGAGATAGTGGCCAGGGGTTCAGCCTCCATCCATTTCGTGAAGTAGTCGATGGCTACCACGAGATATTCGTACCTGCCCGGAGCTCGGGGGAAGGGACCCAGGAGGTCTATCCCCCACTGGGCGAAAGACCAAGGACTGTGGATAGGGACCATTTCCCGGGTGGGCTGGTGGCGCAGCGGGGCGTGCACCTGGCAAGCTCGGCACTTCTGAACCAGTTCTGCGGCATCTCGAAAGACGGAGGGCCAATAGTAGCCCAAGAGAAGGCACTTTTTGGCCAATACCCGGGACCCCACATGTGCCGCACATATCCCTTCGTGGATTTCGCGAAGGACGTAGTCACCCTCCTCGGGAGTCACGCACTTTAGCCAGGGGGATAGGTATGATCTCCTGTAGAGGGTTCCCCCGGCGTAGGCGTACTTGGTAGCTCTGAGTCGGATCCGGCGGGCCTCGGTTTTGTCCTCGGGGAGGGCACCCGAGCGGAGGAAGTTTACGAGAGGGGTCATCCAGATGGCCGAGTTGTCTATAGCCATGACCTGGACCTGGTCTATACTTTTCTGCTTTACAACCTCCACCAGAACTTCCTTGTTCAGGTGCGCAAACGAGGAGGATGCCAGCTTTGACAGGGCGTCTGCACGCTTGTTTTGCGATCTCGGCACCCGCTCGATTTCAAATGTATCAAACAGAGCTGTCGCCTCCTGCACCTTGGCCAGATACTTCTTCATGACCTCCTCCTTGGCCTCGTATTCCCCGCGAACTTGGAGGACAACGAGCTGAGAGTCGCTCCGGACTTTGATCGCGGTAATACCCATCTGGTGGGCTATCCGCAACCCTGTCAAAAGGGCATCATACTCAGCCTCATTGTTAGACGCGCGGAAGTCAAACCGGAGGGCATAAGTCAGCTCTTCCCCAGTTGGCGAGATGAGCAGCAGACCTGCCCCGCTTCCCTCCTTGCTCGAAGCCTCGTCCACGAATAGTACCCAAGACTCTTCTGGCTCGGCCTCCTCGGGCAGGGAGTTAGGCTCAGTTGTGGACAGGCTGGCTCCTTCAGCGAGGAAGTCCGCCAGGGCCTGAGCCTTGATAGCTGTTCGAGGCTGGTAGCCAATGTCATGCTCGGCCAGCTCGACGGCCCACTTGGTCATCCTGCCCGAGACTTCGGGCTTTGTGAGTATCTGCCGCAGGGGCTGGCCGGTCATGACGACGATACTGTGGGCCTGGAACTAAGGTCAGAGTTTTCTGGCAGCATGCACCAGGACGAGGACCAGTTTCTCGGCCGGCGTGTACCGCGTTTCCGGACCTTGCAAAGCGCGGCTAACGTAATATATTGGCCTCTGAGCCCCCCTGTCTTCCCGCACAAAAACCGCGCTAACGGCCTCATTGCAGACGGACAAGTACAGGAACAAGGTTTCTCCCTGTTGCGGGGCGGTCAGGGTGGGTAGCTCGACCAAATACGCCTTTAGGTCAGTAAAGGCCTTCTCGCATTCCTCGATCCACTGGAAATCCTTAGGCGCCTTCAGGACTCGGAAGAAGGGAAGCCCCCTCACCGCGGACCGTGAGAGGAACTTATTCAGGGCGGCCATCCTTCCCGTGAGTCGCTGGACCTCCCTCACATTCCGTGGAGGAGCCATGTTCATGATGGCCTGGAGTTTTTCGGGGTTGGCCCGGATACCTTCTCGGGAGACCATGAAACCGAGGAACCGGCCCGACCTAACTCCGAAGGTGCACTTCTTCGGGTTCAACCGCATCCGGCTTTCCCAGAGGATGTTCAAGATCTCCCTCTGGTCGGGGACGAGTTGGGGTCCTGCTCGGCTCTTGACGATCATGTCGTCCACGTAAACCTCCATGTTCCTGCCAATCTGGTTCTGGAACAATTTATTGACCAAACGCTGGTAAGTAGATCCAGCGTTCTTCAGCCCGAACGGCATCGTCCGGTAGCAGTAGGTCCCTTCCTCGGTGATGAACGAGGTTTTCTCCCGATCCTCCTCAGCCATCTCTATCTGGTGGTATCCCTTGAAAGCATCCAGGAAACACAAAACGTCAAAACCAACAGTAGCATCTACTAACCTGTCGATCGTTGGTAGGGGGAAGCAGTCCTTCGGGCAGGTTTTATTGAGATCTGTAAAGTCCACGCACATCCTCCAGGACTGGTCCTCCTTCTTTACCAGGACAGGGTTGGCTAGCCAGGTCGGGTAGTAGACTTCCATGATGATTTTGGACTCCAGCAACTTACCGACCTCATTCCTGATCACCTCATTTCTCTCTGGGGCGAAGTTTCTCTTATTCTGCTTCACCGGCATAAAGCGGGGGTCTATGTTGAGGTGGCGGACGGCCAGGTCAGTTGAAATCCCGGGCATGTCCTCTACTGTCCAAGCGAAAACTTGGGCGTACTCCTTTAGGAGGGCCTTCAAGTCATCCTTCTCTCTGGGCGGTAGCGACGCACCGATGCGGATTATCCGGTCAGGCCTGTCCTCCCTCAATGGGAACTCCTCGATCTCGTCTTGAGTGCCCAGCTGTCGATCCTCCTCCCCTGGGATGTACGGTTCCAAGCTGGTCGCCTGAGCGACCACCTTCTCATGTCCCCGGAGCATGGCGAGGTAACAAGCTCGGGCCACCTCCGGATCTCCATGTACCTCGGCCACTCCCTCCGAGATGGGGAATTTGATGCTGAGGTGGAGCGTTGAGGGGAATCGCCCGGAGGGCATTCAAAGCGGGCCGACCTAGGAATATGTTGTAAGGGGATGGCTGTTTGACCACCACGAAGTTGACAGGGATGGTCCGGCATCTGGGTGTCTGGCCTACCGTGACCATCAGGGTAATCCTTCCCTCCGGATTGATGGGCGATCCCGTAAAGCCGACCAGAGGTGTCCGAACAGGGGTTAGCTGCCCGTCCTCCAGGCCGAGCTCCTTGAACACCCTGTAGAACGGGATGTCCACTGCACTTCCCTGATCGACGTACACTTTTTTCACCCGGTAATTATTGGTGACGACGTCTATTACGATAGCCTCATGATTCCCGGCTGCCAGGGGAACCGCGTCCCTCGGTCCGAAGGTGATCTCCTCGTCCATGCGCAGACGCTTCAGCGAGTCATCTCCGTCTGGGGGGGTCGCCTGTTCTTCCGTGCTGTATGGCTGTCTCCTCCCGTGGGACCCCCGGCTATAGTGTTTATAACCCCTGCCAGGTTCTGGGCGCCCTGGTCGGGGGAGTCGTCTTGAGCCGCGTAACGCTTCTAAGGTCGGTCGCGGCGGTAGCCTTCTCCACCCCTCTCTCCACGGTAGGTACGTCCGGTCTCCTGGCCCGGCCGTCCTGATTGCGCAAACCGCCCCAAGAAACCGCGCTGGATCAGGTCTTCGATCTCCTTCTGCAGGGTCCAGCATCCCTCCGTATCATGCCCTACATCACGGTGGAAGGCACAGTACCGGTCCTGGTTCCTTTTATTCCGGGGCGCCCCCATCTTGGGCGGCCGTCCTCCGAGACCCTCCGCCTCCATCACAGCCAGGATCTGTGCCCTTAGCCGAGTCAGGGGGGTATACACTTTTTCCAGGAGCGGCGGTTGAGCGGGGGTTTTATCCTTAGAGAGGCGATCGAAGACGTTCTTCCGGGCTTGATCGTCCTTGGTTTCAGGGGGGTTTCCCCATCCTCTCCGGTCCCCGAGTTCCCGATCTGACTCTGGTTTCAGGCGGCCGGCCTCCTCTGCGTTAGCGGCGGCGTGAGCCCGGGTCAAGAGCTCTCCCAGATTCTTGGGGGGCTGTTTGACAAGCTTGTAGTAAAGCTCCTCTACTCTTATCCCATTCATGAAGGCAGCCATGACCACCTTTTCATCCTTGTCCCTGATCTGCAGACTCTCTGTGTTGAAGCGAGTCATGAAATTCTTCAGGGACTCGTCCGGCCTCTGCTTGATGGCCATCAGGTGAGCCGCGTTTTTCGAGTAAGTCTTCGAGGAGACGAACTGGACAGCGAACTGTCTGGCCGGCTAGGTGAAACTCCGGATAGACCCCGGTGCGAGGCCCTGGAACCAGAGCCGGGCCTTACCCTTCAGGATCGTGGGGAAGGTCTTGCAACGGAGTGCATCCGCGGCGGTTTGTAGACGCATATGCGTCAGGAAGACCGAGAGGTGGTCTTCCGGGTCAGTCGAACCATCGTACAGATCGATGCTCGGGATTTTAAACCTCCGAGGTAACGGGTAGTCCTCTATATCTCGGGTGAAGAGCGAGACTGCGTAGTTGTCCTCGTACAGTTGCGGACGCAGGATCTGCTCGAGCTCGTCCCGGACGGGCTGCCATTGGGGTGGGTCCCGCGGGCGGCTCTTGACAGATCGGGCGGGGGAGCACTCGAGCCCATTCCGCGTAGGTTTCCGTGGGGAAGGGTCTCTTGGACGGCTCCCCGCGGTTCGGCCGCGGGAGTACCACTCGCTGTCCCCGACCACCGAGGCTCGGGGGCGAGGGGGAGTCCGTGGCCGTTTCCTTCTGGGGGGCTGATCGCGTGACTCATCCTCCGAGGGGTCGGGGAGTAGTTCTTTCTCCTTCCCCTTTGCCTTGGAGGTTTTTGCACCACTGGCTTCGCCCCCCGCCTTCGCCTGCCGGATTATGTCTTCCAGCATGGGGAGATTCTCGGTTACAAACTGGTAGATCTGCTGTCTCCGTTCCCCTGAAAGGGTCGAGCCCCCGGCGCCTCTGGCCGCCTCGGCCTCCAATCGCCGGGACCCCTCACCGGCTCCGGGATCAGTGTTATTCACGGTTCGCTTGGAACGCGTTCTCGCCATCAACACAAATACTCGTACCTCGTTCCCACAGACAGCGCCAACTGAAGAAGCACGGAACTTCCCCGAACCGAGCTGACCTGATGAGCTCGGCTTGATGGCGGAAAGAGCGCGTCCTAAGCCTGAAAGAAAGACAAGAAGGTGAACTGACAGGGGCCCCGAGGTTGTCCCCGAGGGCACTCCGACGGCCAAGTTAGTTTTCCGGTGAGTAAGGTTCACGGGAAGCAAACAGTCGAGAGTGGTTGCCCAGAGATTAGTGAGCCTACCGTCCGCAGTCGTTGTGTGTTACTGTTTATACCTGCTGAGGAGTCCGACCTCCGTACGTTTTGGGACTTGCCCTGGATAGCTCCCAATCCCGCGCGGAGGGGTTCCTCCCCGCCCTCTGCAGGATAGTTCTCTGGAGCCCCACGGAGCCCTAGTCGTCGTGCGACCTGGGCTGGTTCCCCATGGGCCCGGAGTCCAAGCCCAACTCAGATCGCCCTGAGCTGCCACGTGTACAGGTCCAGGATGGGGCCTTCGCACTAACTAACATGATCAATGCCTATTTTATCCTTAAAATTCAAAACTTGTGGTTCATGAAAAAAGAATGTTTTTGTAAACAAAGAATGACATTTTTTAACACCAAATTGGTGCTCATGCTTTATAAGTAGTATAAGATGTGATAGGAGTATAAAATTTCAACATTAAACATGAGATATCCAAAAGTTTTACAAACCATTCCAACCGATTTAGTAAAAATATCATTATTATCATATTTAGTAAAAAGAATGACACCAAATTTGTCATCTTAATTATTTTTACTAAATATCATTATACTTTAGTTTACAAACCTATTCTTTTATTAATTTTGGAGTGCTTTTATGACTTACAAAAGAGAAAAACTCCTTATTTGATAAAAACTAGCAACTTATATAAACCGCATGTTCAATCTATTTTTCATCTTTGCCCTTGTGTTTATAATATGACTTCATTTTTTTTTACTATAAAACAAATTGAGGGTGTTTGGACATCTCATTATTTGAAAAAAATTATATTACTTATATTCTAAATATATTTTTTAATTATATTTTTATGTTTTCAACTTTATTTTTTAATTTCGCAATCATCATATCACAAAAGATATTACAGTGTCATAATAAATAAATTTTTAAAAAATGAGTATCCAAACATTTTAGTTAAGAGTGAAGCTTAGTGGAGCTCGAGTGGGTTGAAAGTGGAAGTAGGTTAACGCGCTTGAGAGGTGCGGCTGGGTACGGCGATGAGGTGGTCCTGGCGATTTTTTGGTTCGACGGGGGTTACGTGTGCCGTACTTAGTGGTGACATTTTCTGGTTGCTGTATTTAGGATCAGTCTGTCCATTATTAGCAGGCTCCATTTTCGGCTTCTTTTCTCGTTTCCCTCTTCCCTTGTTACCCTGCATTTGTCGCGTCACAGTAATCGCTTCTTTAGCATAGTTAACTGACAAGGTCGGAGTAAATGAAGAATAAAGGATTGGTTCCATTTTTTGCATCATACTAATCAATGTTTTCTCCAGTTCATGAAAACTTGCTACTTTTGAATGCTTTGCCCTCTTTATCCGTGTACTTACTAATGTCTTTTCGTATTAAATATACTACTGAAAGCGAATTAACTATTTTTTTACAGAGAAATTTTCAAAATCATGATAAGATCTACAAAAGGAGTGCGAGTTCAATAAGCTTGCATTGTTGTTGAATGAAGTTTTTTCTTTTTTCAAGGACAAAAAAAAAAGACTTGTGATCAAAATTTGGGTAATTCTCCTCACATCGGCAAGTACAAGTAGGGGGTGTGCAAAATCGAAAAATTTCGATTTATCGACCGAATTCGAATTGAATTCGGAATTTTCGAAATCGATAAATCGATAAATCGGAAATCGGAATCGATTTCGGGTTTTCCGAATTCATATATGTCGAATTTGGTTCGAATTCGGTAATGGAGTTTTTCAAATCGGAATTCAAATTCCGATATCGATTTCAAATTCGTTTTTAATATATAAATATATATTTTATACATGTAATATAAAATTTATAAAATTTATATAATATAATATAATATTATAAAATTTATATTATATTATAAAATTTATATTATATAATACATTTTATATTATATAATAATATATAAATTTTTCCGAATTCGGTGAAATCGAAATTTACCGAATTCCGAATTGAATTCGGTACGAATTCGAATTCGGAATTGGTGAATTCGAAATCGAATTCGATCGAATTATCAGATACCAAAATTTCGAAAAATTTCGAATTCAAACTTCCGAATTACTGATTTTGAATTCGATGCACACCCCTAAGTACAAGGGCTACTTGGTCCAACAAAAGATGCAAACCAAAAATGCCCTTTTACCGGACATCACGTAACAGCAGCATTATTAGAGATATACCACGTAAAAATTTACAGCAACGTGCGGATTAGGAATCCGCAACGGATCTTCTGTCCCACTTTTTATTATATTACTATTTCTCCTTCATAAATATCATATTTTAGTTCTTTTTTGTTTCCTTAAGATCCAATAACTATTAATTCAGTAATACACAAATACACAAAATTTAACAAACTCAAAAAATCAAAATGCATAAAAAATGAGATATTTTATGCATTTTCTGCTGTATTTTTTAATTTTCTATTATATATTATTTTTTTGAAGTTGTTGTATTTATTTTTTTACTAAATTAATAGTTATTAAATCATAAGGAAACAAAAAAGAACTAAAACATGATGTTTATAAAGAAAAAATAGCAATATAATAAAAAGTAGGACAGAGAATGACACAAAGTGTGGGACAGAAGATCCGTTGTGTTAAAAATCCGCAAAATACTATAATAGTAATTAGTAAGTAGTAGGCATCTGCTAACCAACTTGCCCTTTGAGCATTGCATGGAGTCCGTCATTTTCTTCCTGCATTCCTTTGTTCGATCGAAAGTAACAGCCCAGGAAAACGAGATATTTGTAAAGCACGAAAGCGACGACGATGCACAGGCACAGCTTCCTTTGGAATTCTAGAATGCAGGAAGTTTTTAAAAAAATATATATATATGTGTAAGATAGTAGTATGGTATTGGTATTTGCATGAGCATCATGAACTAAGTCTGCATCAGACATTTCAAACTGAGGCTGCATCTATTTGTATTGCATGATGCATTCATCTTTTCTGTCACTTCCACTTGAATCCCTCCAAATGTTGGTTCGTGGAATACAAGTTTATGAAGGAATTATATGATTTGTATCCCTGAAGAGGTTGAAAGCAACTTCTACAGCCTTGGAACATGCATGCTGCTGGCAGTGCTTCGAGAGACAACCCTTTGTCCTAGACTAGGAATAAGTGTATTGTTTAATTTGCATGCTTCAATTTGTTTATGGCCTAGCTATGTAGGAATATACCACTCCTACTATATAGCAACAAGGAATGTGCGTTGCGGGCTATAAAATTTTTTTTTTTTTTTTAAATGAACATCGTAATTAAAATTTTTTTTTGTTTGCTTAGTTGTATATTTTAATTTCCACGATGTTAATTAGGATGGCTGTGTTGTTTTCTCTTCTACAATTCCCTTTCACTTTCAAGGCTCAACCTGGTTTCGATCGCTTTCAACGTTTAAATTCATGTTGAAAGTCACGTCTTTTGTCTAGTTACAATTTGACGCATCTAGAGTCCTTGAGTGAGTGGCTGCTTCTAAAATTGAAGGCATATGACATACACTATTTGGTAGAGATTGTTGTTATTAGGCTGCAAATATGGGATGGCCGAATGGGGCACTCCTCCTCCTCATGAAGGCTGAGATTATGTATTGATCTTGTTATGGTGTTGGAAATATATTTATACGAACTCCATTTACAGGTTTTGTGATTGTGGTGTGTAGCTAGTTAAGATTGATTTTTTTCTTGTTTCTTTCAGTAAGAGGATCGGACGAGGAGAAGCAGGAGAAGAAGAAAGGGCATAAAAAGACTCCCGAATTCATGTTTCTCCAACCACGGTACTTAATTTCCTATGAGAAAATTATCATTACTATCGCGGGAAAGGAAGAAGAATTGACAAAATGTAGCTAGATGATCTTGTTCAAAGGGTAATAAATTAGACTGTGACCATATGCTTCGACAGCAATGCTGATAATTAATGTGAAT